TCGTCGGAGCGAATAGAGGAATTGTGGGTTGTGTGTGCTTTTAAAGGCAGAGAATGGAGCTACATTAGTGGTGGGAACATGGCAACGAGAAGAACAAGAATAAATTAGTGGAATGAAAAGCGTTCGTTGATCCCTGTGGGATTTAGACTGCCGGTTTGAAAGATGAGCTTTTGTTCAAGATTTTTATGGCTTATTACATTGGCGGAGGTGCACGTGTCTGTCTGGTATACATTTCCTATAATTAAGTTTCTGATTCCTTGTGTGAATCAAACAATTTTCTTTCCTTTCACCACCTATGTGCTAGCAAATTTATGGATAAATTTAAGGAGAAATCATGTCTCCTGTCTATCCTGATGTCTAGGTACTGGTTCTGGTTTGGGTACATCGGTACTAAATCTCCTCGCAGATGAATACCCAGATGTGTATCGCTTCACTACAGCTGTGTTCCCATCGGCCGATGATGATGTTATCACATCCCCATATAACAGGTATGTACAGGAAACCTTGTAAGGCTTCAGTGGATGCAATATTATTTACTAGTCAGTCACAGCTTTTCTCAGATTTTGCTTCTATCTTGAATAATAAAGTCATGGTTATTTAGACGGTAAATAATCAGGGTTTTATTAGCTGTTTGACTCCCATCAGTGACCAAGACAGAATTTCTTCTTACAATAACACTACAATATGAAGTGGACAAATGATGAGAATAAAGAGAAAGAACAGTTTATTAATTACCAACTTATCGTAAATAAAATTTTAAGAATTGTATGGCAGACAATAAAGAGAATTACTAAAGAATCACTAGCTGATCATTTCATAGTTTTCTCTTTCCCTGTTGGTTGGATAATTCTTAAGTACCTGTTCAACTGATGATGTTTTCAGTGTCCTTGCCATGCATCAGCTGACTGAGTTTGCAGACTGTGTTCTTCCAATAGAAAACCAGGTGGGGATGATAATGAACTATTCTTGTACATTTTCTTATTAAATGTTTTTATTTCTGAATAGCTTTGGTCACCACTGTAATTGTCACTGAGAAATTTTACATTTTGTCCAGGATAAGTAAAGTTACTGTGTAAAGAAGTAATTACTGTGAAGAAAGTTAGAATTTGGTTTTTTGCAAGCACTGAACGAAGAAATTTTCCAAGTTGTTTAGCGACTATGTTTTTCTCACTTTCTTTCATCTTAGCACATGCTCTACAGTGAAAGAGAAAACATTAGGTGATTAATTTGTTGTGTGTTTTTTTTTTTCTTTGATAAGGCTTTAGTGGACATCTGTAATAAAGTTACAAGTGCTCTACCACCATCCAAGACTGGTAAGAAGGTGTTCTCTTCAAGCAGCCACTCGCGTGTAAAAGCCAGTAGTGCTGTCACGTCAGGTGAAGGGGGTGTCGACAAAGGACCTGAGAAGCCATTTGACAACATGAACAACATTGCTGCAAATCTTATACTGAACATGACAAGCTCTGCAAGATTTGAAGGCTCCCTAAATGTCGATTTAAATGAAATCACTATGAATTTAGTGCCATTTCCCAAGATCCACTATCTAGTCTCCAGCCAGACACCACTTTACAGCCTCACAGATGTGAACCTTCCACCGCGACGACTTGATCAAATGTTCACGGATGCTTTCTCAAAAGATCATCAGCTCATTAAAGCTGATCCTAAAAACAGCTTGTACTTGGCATGTGCTTTGATGCTCAGAGGAAATGTTGAAATTTCAGACATTAGGAGAAATATTGAAAGACTCAAACCCTCTTTGAAGTTTATTCATTGGAATCAAGAAGGATGGAAGACTGGACTGTCCTCTGTTCCCCCAGTAGGTCATCCATACTCACTCTTAGCCCTAGCGAACAATACATGCATCAGGCACACTTTTCAAGACCTTAAGGATCGCTTTATGAAGCTCTACAAGCGCAAGGCTCATGTTCATCACTACACTCATGTCATAT